TGGTAAAGAGTTCTAGCAATGGAGGAATTTAGAAAGTGGAGTCTCTATTTTAAGGTTGTTTCTTGTCATAGGGAAAAGGAACCGAACCATATCCCTAGATCCACTTTTTAAAGACAAAAGTTGATTCTATGCACATTGAATAGGCACTTTGCACATACTCACAACTCTCTTTAAAAAAGCGACATTCAAGTCCATGATAATTGAGCAGGCCCTACTATTGTTGAACTACAACTTTCATCATCCCTGGCCATTGACGTACTACTCTTTCAGAACCAAACTTCCCCTTGACCTCTCTCATCCCTGGTTAGCTTAGTCATTTGTCTCATCCTGCCAAGTGACAGTTGATACAGAATTTTAAACACCCTTATACTGAGTCAGATCACTGGTATATCTAGCCTAGTAGTGTGTAGTCTGAACTTCCAGTGGCTCTCTAGGGTCTCACTACAATAACGCACTAATTTGGAAGACAAATTCCCACAAGAACAAAGTGCATAAATCTTTAATGACAGAGGAGCACCCCTTAGAAGGCACATGTTCCAACAGCACCACATTAATTAACAGCAATGAGCATTTTTGCTAATGTGATATCTCCAAAGAACCTAAAAAGACGTATCTGAAAGTCTGCTACTACGCACATCTGGATGTCTGCAGGGGGCAAGACATTCAATTAGGGTTGCCATATTTTTAAAAAGTGAAAACCAGGACACCCCAAAAGTTGTGTAATATCCGGGGTGTGTGTGTCAGTTTCTAGCACTTGTTGAACCTGATAAATTAATCAAAATTGTACAGGCACTTGCTTTGTTTACCATCTAGTTTTATGAAGAGTTCTGGAGAACTCAAATGTTTGCATGCAGTTTTAACAATTAATAGCTAAATTCAGTAATATTGCATCTTAACATAAATTCAACCTGAATGAAACTCCCCCTTAGTTTTAAAATAACCTGCCAGATGGGCGGAGTATAAATAATAAAATTGTTGTTGCTGCTGCTCATGTTTAAACCTAGATCTATCATTAGTTCATGACCCATTGAACATCCATCAGCCTATCTACACTTGCACTATTCCTTCTGTTACAAAAAGCCCTGCGAGGGCATGTGAAAAGCTCAGTGGAGCAGCAATGAAACTATTATCAAAAGGCCCTACCATCAGCCTGCAAAAGTCATACACCAGAGACCATTATGTTCCTGATATCAGTTTGCTAGCTGTAGCTGGGCCTGGGGACATCCTATTCCATAATAATAATTTTACTATTTATACCCTGCCCATCTGACTGGGTCGCCCGAGCCACTCTTGGCGACTTTCAACATACCATATAAAAACATAATAAAACATTAAATGTTTAAAAGCTTCCTTATAAAGGGCTGCCTTCAGATGTCTTCCAAAGGTTGTATACAGTGGTACCTCAGGTTACATATGCTTCAGGTTACATACGTTTCAGGTTACAGACTCCGCTAACCCAGAAATAGTGTTTCAGGTTAAGAACTTTGCTTCAGGATGAGAACAGAAATCGTGCTCCGGCGGCAGCAGGAGGCCCCATTAGCTAAAGTGGTGCTTCAGGTTAAGAACAGTTTCAGGTTAAGAATGGACCTCCGGAACGAATTAAGTACTTAACCCGAGGTACCACTGTAGTTATTTACAGTGGTGCCTCGCAAGACGAAATTAATTCATTCCGCGAGTTTTTTTCGTCTTGCGATTTTTTCATCTTGCGAAGCACGGTTTCAGAAAAGTTTTGGAAAAGCTTCAAAAATCACCAAAGTCTTCAAAAACCTCAAAAAAGGCTACCACACCGCGTGCTATGAGTTGCTCCTTGAAGTCAAGTTGCAACTGTATTAACGGTTTTAAGAAAAAGGAAACAAACTTGCAAGACGTTTCCATCTTGTGAAGCAAGCCCGTAAGGAAATTCGTCTTGCGAAGCAACTCAAAAAACCAAGAACCCTTTCGTCTTGCGAGTTTTCCGTCTTGCGAGGCATTCGTCTTGCGAGGTACCACTGTACTGTATTTATGTGAATCTAATGCGCCATCGAATCTAATGTGCACCTCAATTTTTAAAACCTTGGAACCAAAAAAGGTTTTTGCTGGCGAATGTAAATGCACCATCAAATCTAATGTGCACCCTAATTTTTGCAACGTAATTTGTCCAAAAAAGGTGTGCATTACATTTGAGTAAATACAGTATCTCCTAGGCTTGGGCGTCGCATATACAGTAGTAACTTTGTTATTAACTGCCATATGCAACTATTTCTGTGATTTTTAAGATCTGTTGATGATGCCAAGAAATCCTCCCAAGCACTTAATATACTGCAGCAGTTTGTGGCCTGGTGTTTTCATTCCTTTCTTGAAAACACACCAGAAAGTTTGGCACTGATACATAGTGAAATGCCAAACATATTTGCCTAGGATGCTAGGCAAAAATAGACGATTTTGGCTGGCAAAACACAATGGAATTTTATGTCATGCTGCCATAAGAGTTTGGTCAAGAGCTTGCCATCATCAAGATCTATCAGGGTCCATATCTGTTCATCTTTTGAAACTGATGGGTAATCTGTCCTGTATTTTCTAAGACGAAAGCTGTTCTGAATTACCATTTCCACTAGAATATTTCAAAAATTTGACAACTTGGAAGAATAATTATAAATCAGATTCACGTCAGACATTCACCAAGCTCCTTGGCAACAGTGTTATGAAAAGCAATATTTTGGTTAAAAGGAAAGGTTCATCAGAAAAAGTGCATGAAGAATTTTCTAAAAAATGAGAACTTCTAATGACAGTCCAATGCTGAGTCCCAGCTGTAGTGGTATAATGTTCAGTGGCTGTAATGAGGCCAGTGATTGGCTGTATTCCACAAGTACAGTATTTGAAAAGAGCTGTTTTGGAGATCAAATGTACCCTTAGGTGAGGGATGGGGAACCTCTTTGGCCCATACCTGTTAAGGAAGTGGAATCTGAGCATAAGCTGTCTCTTAACTGAAGCCCAGTCACCAATAAGATATCCTCTTTTTAGAGTAAACAGTTCATTTTAAGCTCTATACATCCTGTATCCATTGGAACACTGAGAAACCCATGTTTTGTCCTCTATTTCAGTTCCACAGACACCCATCTGACTGAAGCAGGGTGGAGGACATTGACTTAGTCATTGGTACCACCCATTAGCGTTCAGTTAAAACAGAGGGTGGATTACTGGGGGACTTCGGAAACTCACTATAGATCTCAGCCTAACTCATCTTGCAGAATGCCTCTAAGGAGAAAATGTATAGAGGTAAAAAAAAGATCCAGTTTAACCCATTATTAGCCTTAGGGTATTGCCGGTGGGGGGGGGGAATCCACACATGGTGTAGTGTAGTGGTAAAAAATGATGGATTCTGCCACTCTCAGCACATTTAAGCTTTCCTCATGAAAAAAAAAACCCCAAGACCTTCTAGACATAGGATCCCTTTAAAACAATTTCTTAGCCAAATTCACCCTGAATGTTCCTATAATTTTCAATGTGGGTTAGGATTTCTACTTCATCCTTTACACACACTCTTAATGAGAAAAAGTAGGAAGGGAGGATGAATTAATTTACCCAAATAACCAAAAGCTTATTAAAGGCTCAATAATCCAAGGGGATTTATTTTGTGATTGTCCCATTATAGGTAAAAAGCACGTACTCAAGTCAAGCTGTGGAATTAGCTAAATCTGCCTGTTCTGAAGGCGAGAAACAAGTATTACAGCTTGCAGCTATGGTAAAGACTTTGCCTTTTGATATATTTAGTTTGTGGTTACACAAACTCTTTTCCATTCCAGATCACACAATACACATGAGGTTATTTTAAACAAAACACTATTTTAAAAAATCTATTTCTTTTGTCTTGTTTATGATCATATCAGATGTTCCCAGGACAGTTGCTGATGCTGAATGGAAAGATGACTGTGTTAGATTTCCAGTGATTCATAAAGCCACCTCCTTCTCTGTTCTCCTTTCAGAAGCCTTGCAAATTTCCCTCTGTCAGTTAAATTAGGGATGGAGAACCTGAGGTCCTCCAGATACTGCTGAACTACAAGTCCCATGGCCTCTAATAATGGGCCGAGCTGTGTGGAACTGATGAGGTTCAGAATCCAACAATATCTGGAAGACCACAGCTTCTGTACCTAAATCCTAAATTGTTGGTCATGAGGAACATGTATTCTGAGCATAATGACAGTTTTGTGGTCATCATAGTGAACTTGCTATATTTATTACAAAGGAAATTGGGCACATGGTTAATGTTTTCACAAATACTCACACCACAGAGCAGTATAAAAGTTGACAAAAATGAGCCTGGTTTTAATCATGCCCATAAAAGTTAATGCAAAGAAGTCCTTAAGACATACTTCCCCCTGATACAACCTCTTCTCCTTGTGGGATATATTCAGGGTGGTACAATACACAGAGTTGGGCTTTATTGGGAAAAAACCCTCCCCTTTCGGCCATTTACTGCACCAAGGGTTTTGCAATGAAAGTATTTTGTTATGATTAGGTCCTCCTCGCCTTTTTAAACAGTTGACATATATCTGTGTCAGTGTTACTTTCAGTTTATATCTCCATTATTCCAGTTTAACAGCATCACACAAAAGGAAAGTACTGTAGCTACTTATCTACCATTTCTTGTTGATTATAAACCATATTGCATAAAATGCAGTAGTAAATAATCTGGGAGAATTGTTTATTACATTTATTCATTGCTTTTTACATAAATGTCTCAAAGTGACTTAAAGAGTATTTAAAAATACCGGACTACCTGCCAAACATTTAAAAACTGTGATACTCATATGTTGAGAGAATACCTGAAGACAGGTACTTGCCACTTCATATTCTTTATATGCCTTTGAAACATGGTAAATATACTGGGTGAAGCATTTTATGGACATATTATCCTTAATTCTGCATTAAACCAACACATGGTGCTTAGCATATGTTTTGTTAAGTACAAATTTAAAAATAGTTCACGACCATCTTAGAATCAGCATAAGCCCAAGGCGTTTTAGGACTTTTTTAATGTTATCACTTTATCTCCTGAGATGTGAGTAAGCCAAAAGCAGGGTTTTACTCACACAACACTGTTTGCACTTAGTAACACAAATAGTTCGTCAAGCAGGATTAATCAGCAATGCTGCTATGAGATTGCTTGCTTCTTATCACCAAATCTGTAGTATAAACATGCTGGCTGTGTTGGCCAAAATATGTTGTATGCTGTGGGGTAGACATCAAGGGAATATCTGGAAGCATCCCATTTTCGGTATGAATATATGAATTTTGAGCTTGCTGCTTGGAACACTGATTTGGAAATGACTGTGTCATTTTAAAGCATCCTTCCCCAAACTGGTGCCTCCCCCCGATATTTTGGAGTACATCTCCTATCATCCCTGATCATTGGTCATGCTAGGGCTGATAGGAGTTGTAGTTCAACAACATCTGGCAGGAATCAGGTTGAGGAAAGGTGCTTTAAAAAAGTTATTCAACAAGGTTTTCTAAGTGGATTGCCTTGATTGCAGGTTTGGTTTGCGCACAGATTTCCACATCACAATTAGAAACCCTATCTAACAGCTGCTCAAGCTTTGAAAACTAGACAGATGATGTTACAAAATGTGTTGTGATGCTTCCCATTTCTCTAAGCAGTAGGAAACTCCAGCTGCTACAGAGTTGAGTTCCCTTTTGAGAAGCTTGTGTATTTTCTTGTAAGCATAAAAATATACAAGTTGAGCAGGGTGCATCAGACAAGAACTTTGGCAATCATGCATGCTGGTCTTTAAAGCAGTATCAGTTCTCCCAAAAGCTGAAAGCATAGTCTTAGAAATTCACAGCTGTGGCCAGGAAGAGTCAATTTCCCATGAAAAGACATCTTGGTTGCCTTCTAAAGCTTGATTCCATGTGGATTCCCAAAGATAGAAATATATAGATTTGGTTCCTCAACAGGGATTTTGAAGAATTCTGATGGAAACATGGGTGAAAATTGCTCATGTTTGCTTATTCATCCCACTTATGGAATGGAAATCAATCCTCTGATAACAATTCCATAGTTTCCTCTAATTCCGCCATCTGCAATCCCCTGCATCATATTCCAGATCATGCCCAAAGGCCCCCAACTGCTAGGAGCACATGTTGGTGTGGGGCAGTGAGGTCTGAAAGCCCCATTCTGAACTTTCCTCTGTTCAAAAAAGGAAAGTTAGGATCTTAAAACACAGCAATTAATAATCCATAAACTGTATACATACAGTTTAATGTGGATTATAAAAGCAAGCTATATAGCAAATCTAACACATAATGTCCTTGTTATTGTGGCTTACATTATTCTGTCTTGCTTGGGGGGGGGGGCTGGACTTCAATCCCAGTAAGTCCTTCCCTGAATACACCATGGTTTGTGGTGGTGGGAAGTGTAGAATATGAATTGCAGGATAAGATTACAAATTTGATTACATCTATTCATTTGCAACTCTTTATGAAAACAATTTAGTAAACTGGTTTGTTGTTAGTGCATTCCATGCTGCGTATGTTTCTGTTGCAGGACTCAGTGTTGGGTTTGTCCTAATCTATAATCTATAATAGCTCCCTAGCAGTAAACTTAGATGATTCACTATGACTCATTTTGAAGAATAGATTTATACCTCCAGTTCAGCAGCATCCAGATAAAATCACTGGCTGTTTACACAAGAAAGACCATCCCAAGGCTTTAAAATGGCACATATATATTTTCTCCCTTGAACATTTCACTTCTTACTTTCAGTTGCAAATCAGCAACACAATCCTTGCCTGCAGTTTTGAATGGAAGGAAATCAGTAAGTACTGCTATAAATTAAATTTCAAGTGCCAAGTGAATGTCCTCCTTTTGTGGAGGTAATTGGTAAGAAGAGATCCTCTTTGTTACTGTAAGTTCAGTATAGAAACTGATAGAAGTGATGATTACAGCTTTATTGCTGTTAGGAGTAGCTGAGACTTCAAAGTGAAAGCAAGATATGGAATTGTGCTAAGAGAGAAGCCTCTTGTTAATGGGGGTTCAGTCTTATGGAGTGTATTCATGTTGCCTCCTTAGAACACAGTGAAGTTGCTTCCCCATCTCCATGTGCTTCACAGCTCTTCCCTTCCCCTCAGCTGTTCACATCAGCACAGCTTCATTAGTGTCAGATTCCTTTCTGTTTGTATACACACCAGGGGGCATTGATAGGGTGGGGAAATGCCTTTTACCCTATGCAAAGTTATTCATAAGTACTTAATTCACTCCGGAGGTCCGTTCTTAACCTGAAACTGTTCTTAACCTGAAGCACCACTTTAGCTAATGGGGCCTCCTGCTGCTGCCGTGCCGCCGGAGCACGATTTCTGTTCTCATCCTGAAGCAAAGTTCTTAACCCGAGGTACTATTTCTGGGTTAGCGGAGTCTGTAACCTGAAGCGTATGTAACCTGAGGTACCACTGTATTTTGTTAGGATACACATGCATTTTGGGTAACATCATTTGATGTATGAAAACGCAGCAAGTGCACAGCAAACAGGAGTGTGAACACAGCTGTGTTGTCCATAGAACAAGTCGGCAGAAAAACCGTAACTAGCACAATCCTAACCATGTCTGCTCAGAAGTAAGCCCTTTCTAGACCACTTTTATATTAGAAGCCAGAAGGCATTCTCCGCTACTTGTTTTGCTTACTAGTTCTGAAAACCCCTTCATTTAGCCAATATGTGCCTGACAGCACAACCTACGCAGAAGTGATCCCCATTCAGTTCAGTGGGGACTTATTCTCAGGTCAATGTATGTAGGCTTAGGCTCGAATGTTTATCTTTTGACCCAATAAAAATGAATAAGTTTTTGGGGGGCTCTTGAGATCAGTTTCCTCAAATGTTGGAGAAAGGTTAGCTATGACTTACGAGTTTCAGTCCTTCCAGATGTTTTACTTCCTTAATGTTGGTTAGACATACAAATATAAGGTTCCTGGTTTTCTACTTTACTGTAATGGAAGAGGACGTCCAGGAACTGAAAGGAACAAGGATCAGAAAATGCATCATCGTTCTAAATCTATTTTAGAGGAAACTATTAAATGGATACTGTACTAACTTCAGCTATCATGTCCCTGTTACCGGTTTTTAAACCAGTGAATCCATTGTTTCTGGTTTTCTTTTAAAAATAACGGTGTTTCTGCAATATAGAAGTGTGGAGATAGGGAACAAAAAGAATAGCCCAAGGGCATTCTCTGTCCAATGGGTGTGTCATCGTGACCTTGCAAGCCAGGGCAGCACTATTGAATGTGTTGCCAAAGAATAAAGTAAGCTGCAGCAGGGTCTTTGTTTAAAATCTTAATAAAAAATGAATCATCGAAAAGAGCATGTCCCTGCATGGCTTCTCTTTTAAATCTCTTTGAGATTTTTTTCTACAATCAAGTGACATTTTATTAAACAAACAAACAAACAAACAACAAACAAACAAACAAACAAACGATAGGAGTTCAAATATCCTGCCCCATGTTTGCCTTCTGCAACCATATCCTACATCTCAGTGGTTTAATAGTGAATTTCAAAGTGCAGGAGACTCATCATGGCTGCCCCCTAAGCCACATACCAAAAATACAGGCAGCTGTACAGATCCATTATTATTCACAAACACAGACATGGGCGTAGCCAGGATTTTTGTTAGTGGGGACAGGCCTTTTGTTAGGGAGGGGGCAGAACCTCAGTTTGCTATGTATTTATTTTTATTTTTTTGATGGGGGCCCATGGACACAGCCAGAATGACTTAGCTCCCTCACCCCCATGAGCTGCATAGCTTAGAGAAGAATTTGACTTGAACTTGTATAAACTGCAAAGAAAGCAAACCAAATCACTTTGGACTCTAGCTCGCAAAACAGTGACACTGACTGCCAGGCAAGAAAGGTTAATTCTAAATCCACATTTCACTTCCCAGAGTAAAAGCAAGGCCTGTGAGTTACTGTGCTGCTCCTTCCATTAGCAAAACAAGAGGAGGAATGAATGAGCTAGATATCTCAGATGCTAGGTTGGGAAACATGTAGATGGACAAAAGGAATGTCAAAAGGAGGAAATTGGAGGCTCCAGTGTGAAAGGGTAGTGCAGATAAGGCTCACTGAGCAATTAATTCATTTCTTTCCCACTCAGCTTTTATCTTGCCCTTCATCTGACAATTTCTGGGTGGAGTTCATGGTTCTCCTCCCAATTCTTTGCTTATGACAACCCTGCAAGGTAGCCTAGGCTGAAAGATAGTGACTAGCTGAAGGTTACACACCCAGCTTTGGGGCTGAGTGGTGATTTGAACCTGGGGATCCCTGGTTCTACTCCAAGTAGGGCCTTTTAGCATACAAAATGGTAATAAAAACTTTCAAGTCACACTGAAATATTCAGGGATAGATGATCTAAGTATTATTCTTTTTTAAATCACATGTGTGGGTGATAATGTAGCAGTAAAATTGAGGGCTCTTTAAATTGAAGTTTAGGCAGGGAACAGATCAGAAATCTATCTGTTATACAGTTTATTTATCTTGGGTGGGGAAGGAGACACCCAACAAGGATTTCCAGCAGAATTGGCGGTGGTTGTGGGCAGAATTCAGCAAGAAGATACAGTACAATGAAATTAGAGTGCACTGAGTATTTACTCTCCAGCGCTAGTCTATGGGCAGTAGAATCTCTCTGCATGAAGCAGCACTCCGGATTATGTCTGTATATGGAATTTGACACGGGTGGAAAGAGAATCAAACTCCTGACGCAAAGCCTTTAGTGTGCTAGAAACTCAGGGCCAAACTATGTGTTTTGCCAGAAGAGATCTGTGACTGATCTTTTGATGTTTTGTTCTGGTTTTTTGTTTTAGCTTAATATATCCGTGGGGGAGGCCCCTCTGCTCATTGGACTGGGGAAGGAGCAATGAGGATGGAGCTTTTTAACGTTCCCTGAAGCTTTTTGCTGCTCAGAATTGATGCTTGCTAGTTTATATTTCTTCCTGTATTTTTTTTCTCTCCCAGGAAGCACGAGAGAAAGAGAGCAGGGAGGATTAAACACACCCAGCCCTTATGCCACTTCCTTGACCAAATTAGGACCTTTCTCTTCTCCCTGCAGCAGTGTTTAGCTGAAAAAGAAAGTTGGGAGATCATTCAAGGGTTTTCCAATATTACACATACCTTGGCACTAATTTTCCTGTTATTTCAGAAGCACAGCCATGCCAGTTTGTTGCAGCTTGGGCACTGCAGGTACAACAGCTGATTGTGGCATGAGCTCCTTTATGCTATAGCCTTCTTCCTCAGCTGCATCTCATGAAGCAGGCTGTTGCCTAGGGAAAATGTGGGCTATCATAAATTTATTAGCCTTTAAGGCACCATATTTGCCCCTCTTGAGCCCCTCTTGAGCTAAAATGTGTGGGGATGTTAGCCCCACATGTATTCACTAGAAGTTTCATAGCATCCAGCTGTACACATCTACAGCTCTCTGCACATGATCAGGAACCCTGCCTCTCTCTATATATTCTAATGAGCATCTGTATTCCAGTGAGGGAAGGGGAGGTCAGAGCTTCAATGTATCCCCTGCAAAAGTTTATTATTCACAGATTCTTAGTGCCTGAAAACAACTATTGTTACCATTCTGGCAAGGAAACCTGAATGTGCATTTAAAGTGATTTGCTCCTTATAAGAGCATCTTTATCCCTGTGGCAATTATGTAAGTAGAAAAGGGAAAGTTACACCCTGTCTAACACCTCTAAGTTCCACCATTAGGGTGAAGAAGGGCCTGCTAATTTAAAGAGAATAACTTCCAGGGTGGTTTTTTTTATTACAATATAAAAAAAAATATTCTTTACCCTCAACATTCTTTGATTCTGATAAATGCTGAATCACTTTCTTGCCTCTGTCCATTTCCTGTTGCTTCCTGTCACTGCATGTAGGAAGGGCTGTGAGATCTTTTTGGAGCAAAGACTCATCTCTTTGCTTGGCAGCTGCGAAGCAAAGGGATTGAAATTGGTGAGCGGAATTCACAACATTCGCACCTCCACCCTACTTTTAAGGTGTTTGTTTATCATCTCTTAAGAGCCTTTATCTTAAGAATATTACAGAGCTGGAAAAGGGACAGAAAATGGCAGCCAAAGTGACCTAGGGTTTTAGGGAACAAAGTGACTCCCCTGGGAGGAATGGCCGAGGAAAAGGTGGAGAGGAAAAGGGGAAATAGAAGCTGGTGAAATGATGCATGTTTCTCCCTCTCTCAAATCACTAGAATTCATGGATGCTGAAAGTTGGGAAATTCAGGACAGATAAAAGAAAGCACTTATTTGTGCAATGCATGGTTAAAACTATGGAAATCAGTTCCACAGGAGGCAGTGGTTAGGTTTAAAAGAGGGTCGGACAAATTCATGGAGGATAGGGCTATCAGTGGCTATTAGCTATGATGGCTTGTTCTGACTCCACCATTGGAGCCAGTAATGCTTCTGAATACCAGTACAATAGCTGGGATCCAAAGACAAGGGGGAGAGTGCTCTTGCAGTTTGATCCTGCTTCCATGTTTCCTGCTGGCATCTGGTTGAACAGGATGCTCTAATTTGATGGAAAATTGGCCCAATTCAGGCTCTTCTTATGTTCTCCCTCCAAAGCCTCAGCTGCCAATTCTACTGGCAATAATATCTGCCTATTTATTACTACATGTATAGCCAACCTTTCCTGCAAGGAACTCAACATGACATACACAGCACCCAGCCATGGATCTTTTGTTTAATCTGTAGTTCAGCCCTAAGAGGGAAGCTTTTAATCATACTGTTGGAACTGGGCATTTTTTACATAGGTTTCAGATTATACAGGTTTTAATCTTTTTCTTTAAAAACAAAAGAGAACATGTTACTACTGTCCAGTATCATGGCTATGTCACAAAACTGCCTTTCAAAAGTTGTAAAACAGGCATTCACATTTAGTCTGCCTTCAGATGGCTGCACATTAACTGTTTGCTTTACAATGGTGTGCTTTCTGATGCAGTCTGCTAACATCCCAAAATGTACTTTCGTAATGGCAGTGGGTCAGCAGCGGAAGGACATCTCAGCTTGCAGACATAAACCGTTTTGCATGGCAGATTAGTCAGGCCAGCAAGTCTGTGCTCGTAAAAGGTGAAATTGCCTTGACATGTTGTGCTGATAAGAACAGCTAAAGGTATTACATTGAAATATTTTCTCCCTGAAAGTAAGCAATGCACATATTTTGAAGGAAAGAAAAAATATGAGGCAAAGGGGACTTTTGTTGTGACAGCTGGCTTGACAGCTGTGGTGTATAACTGTGCCACAGCTATACCTTCAGTCAGCCAGCATGCTCTGACGCCACACTGTGGTTTTACAAAGACCAAATGGACAGCCTCTGCCCTAATCTATACTTGCCTAAGCTTTAGTTGGATTTTGAACACAGCACGGTGATACAATGGCAGTAAATACAACATACCAACCACCTAAACCATTTTGCTTCAACTGGTGAGTCATGTGACCCACAACAGGGTTTTACCTAAGGTGGGCTGCTCCAGTAGTACCATAATTCATTTTCTTTTTATTTTACGTTTTTGTAATTTCATGTTGTTGTTGTTTAGTCGTTTAGCCATGTCCGACTCTTTGTGACCCCATGGACCAGAGCATGCCAGGCACTCCTATCTTCCACTGCCTCCTGCAGTTTGGTCAGACTCATGTTTGTAGCTTCAAGAACGCTGTCTAACCATCTTGTCCTCTGTCGTCCCCTTCTTCTTGTGCCCTCAATCTTTCCCAACATCAGGGTCTTTTCCAGAGAGTCTTCTCTTCTCATGAGGTGGCCAAAGTATTGGAGCCTCAGCTTCACGATCTGTCCTTCCAGTGAGCACTCAGGGCTGATTTCCTTAAGAATGGATAGGTTTGATCTTCTTGCAGTCCATGGGACTCTCAAGAGTCTCCTCCAGCACCACAGTTAAAAAGCATCAATTCTTCGGCGATCAGCCTTCTTTATGGTCCAGCTCTCACTTCCATACATCACTACTGGGAAAACCATGGCTTTTACTATACGGATCTTTGTTGGCAAGGTGATGTCTCTGCTTTTTAAGATGTTGTCTAGGTTTCCCATCGCCTTTCTCCCAAGGAGTAGGCATCTTTTAATTTCGTGACTGCTGTCACCATATGCAGTGATCATGGAGCCCAAGAAAAGCCTCATGTATGTGCTAAAATTAAGACACAAAAAGGTCAAGGGAAATTGCTTTCAACCTGGGGCCCACAATGTGGTGCCTGCAAGCATCACAATACACTCAGATATGCTCCTTGGAAGCCACTAAGGTCCAGTTTTTTATTTTTAAAACTGAGTATTTTTGACATTCTTGTTGTTTGATTGGGGTTGTTGGTGTTTTGTCTGTTAGGAAGCAACTCTGAGCGTCACCAGTTTTTCTTTTGTGAAATGGGCATCTTGGGGTGCCCCCAATAGCTCTTTAAATTCCCCACTGGGCCCCTGAGCCCAAAAAGATTGGGTACCTCTGCTATAAACCATTACACTGAGGCATTTGCAGCACTCATTCACAAATCAATGGGCAAAAAATTCTCAGTAGTGGTGGAACTTGTCCAGTCATGTAAATTTTTACATTTTCCATTTGACCTGTTTAGGAACATAAGACCATTAAAATGCTGGTCCAGGTGCACTGGTCCACTGGCCCAATAATATATCTGCAACAGTGCCCAAACTGATGCCTCTGTCAGAGTCAAAGGTTTACTACTCTTGAACATGAAGTTTTTTCCAACTTGTGCTGCATTGCCCAGGATACTGTTTTAGCAGAAGTAGTGCCGTCAGAGTTTGACCAAACTGCGGGTGGCAGTGGAAGACAGGAATGCCTGGCGTGCTTTGGTCCATGGGGTCACGAAGAGTCGGACACGACTAAACAACAACAACATTGCCGTCAGACTGCTGTCCATAATATCGGGCTGTAACTCCTTCAATTCTGTTGCTCTGCATAATCCTGGCATTGATATGACAGGTTACATAGGGGAAAGACTCTTTCCAGCTCTCTAGAAAAGCCAGGTAGTGAGATTTAGGCTTAAGGGGACAACCTCAAATCACTAACTCAAGAGCAGTTCTACAGAAGGCAGCAGAACAGTTTCAGAGTATGCAGCTTGAGATTGCAGCCTTAAATGGTAAGCATTTATACAGCACATAATTTTTCCATCCCTGGGCAGAATGCAACAGACGTCTTGAGTGCTTTGCAATAATACAGCATAATTCATTTCTCTCTATGGTACTTTGAATCCTGAGCATTAGGTCATCTTTTCCATACATTTGCCAGAGCAGGATTATTGCACAGAGAAGACTCTCTCCAGGGCTTTGTTCTAAATGACCCAACAGATGAGACACATCATTTCTCTTGAATGTGTTCCACAGTCTGATAATTTTAAGGTCTCCTCTGCCTTTGGTAGCTGGCCCAAATTTCCCTGTTAAGTCCCAATGATTTAAAATCCTGCATTTTTGTCCTTGTGGCAAATACATTCTAGAGCCGATTGATCCTATCGCTTTGTACATTTAATGGAATAGCTTCGCTCCAGAGGAAATAGATCAACTTCTGTTTCACCACTGTTATATAAAAACATGGAGGGAATGTGAGCCTGGGCAAACACTGGAGAGGGGAAAACATGTAGCCAGTTTTAACAATTACATTTTTAAAAAGCAAAAGAAATGCCTACAAAAACATAAAGCATTCCTGTGTTGGGAGTGGGCAACCTTGCTAGTTTTCGACCTTTTAAAAAAAGCCGTAGGAGTGCTCTCATTCATGAGTGATACAATGTGGAAAACTTGCTTTAAAAAAGTTCACATAATAGCACACATGTGTGGAAGGAATTAGCATCACATGATGCATGTTTTAGCACATGGATGAGTGCGGAAGTCATAAAGCCACATTCAATGCAGCATTCACAATAGCCGTGGAGAGAAGGGAAATAGTATTTCCCGAATCACAACTACAAAACAATGTAGTTTGAGTACTGTGAAAACCGCAGCACAACCAGTCCTTTGAGGAAAGTTCTTCGGGGTCTTGGAAACAGACGAGCAACAGCTGTACATTTCATAGAATCAAAGAATTAAAGAGTTGGAGGGAACTCCGAGCATCATCTAGTCCAACCCCTGCAATGCAGGAATCACATGGGTGGTGAAGAACAGTGTGGGAATCATTCTAAACTGCTGGATCCCTAATCTGGGGATTCCTACCCCCTTATGATTGCATATGCCATTTATAGTCTCCAATACTTGGTACATTCCCTCCTTCATTAGCATATTTCTTGGGTTTGTATAGCCCAGGCCTAAATGTGCAAACATGGAAGGAAGTCCCATTGAGTTCAATGAGACTTATTTTCAGCCAATTTACATAGGACTGCATTCTTTTTCCTTGTCTCTGACTCCTTCCGATTAAATTCCAGAACCATATGTGACAAGAGTATTGTTAGCCCAGAAATGGAAAAAAAAGAAATTCCGACGAAAGAAGAATGGCAGACGAAATTAATGGACTATGCAGAATTGGACAAAATGACAGGAAGGATTCGAAACCTGCGGGACCAGAGATATACTTGGAAGAAGTATATGAATTATTTGAAGAGCAACTGTAATCAACAAATTACGCTAGTAGGACTACAAGAAGTTTTGTAAGGAGAAATATACGAAGCGTTACAAAGTAGAAAAAGATAGAGATATTGGTTATGAGTTTGAAATGTAATAGGGAAGACAAGAAATGCATACTGATAGATTAAATTAGAAAATTTTCAGACAGGATTGATGGAAGTCAAAAATTTGAATAAGATGTAAAAGAATGTTTAATTACTGTTGAAAATGATATGTTAAAAAAACTAATAAAAAATTATATATGAAAACAAAATTCCAGAACCGTATGCACATAAACTAAAACATAACAAAAACAGTCATAAACAATAAAGAAAACATTAAAAAATACACAATCAAACTGAAAAATTTCCACATAAATCACGAGATCTAAAATAAAGATGCAAAAAACTGAACAGCAACCCCTCCCCACCAACAAAACCCCCTAAACAGTACCCTAGCCCCAGAATCTGTTCAGCAGCTTCAGCTTTTGTAGCTGGAGTCAGTCAGTGCCCCAACCTCCCAGGACAGGTGGGAAAAGGCCTGCAAGGCACAGAGCAGGTCTTCCAGGATTTGCAGCCAAGATGGCATAGAAAAGAACTGATCAATTTTCCAGGAATGAATGTAAGGGCTGTTTCCCCCGCCCCCCTTTTAAATTTTTTACCTGATTGGTGAAAGGTAGAAATCGGTGCTAATTTGTACGTGATACTCCACAGCAAAAACTGCTGACATTGTGACGATCCTAATCTGCATAAATTCGTTATCTGCATGTTTTAGTACAGTGCCATTGCTAAATGTAAAATTAATATGATATGCATGGAAATAAAAACATATGAAGGGAAACATTGTTAATTGTCTTTATGAAACGCTAAGAAGTTGGGGGGAGAAATTTCACAGCAATAAAACCGATAAAGGAAAGAAACAATACAATTTTAAAAAGGCATTATTGGCTGCAATCAAGCTAAGTGTAGGGAGCGCCACAGGTACAGGGGGCTTCAAAGCTCTCATTCATGTGTAAAGAAAACTCTCCACTTGTAATGTGTGTGGGGGGTGTTATTTATTTATTTATTGCATGTATATCCCCGCTTTTTCTCCAAGGAGTTCAAAATGGTGCACATGGTTCTCTCCCACCTCATTTAATCCCTGCGACAACCATGTGAGGTAGGTTAGGCTGAGAGATAGTGACTGGCCCAAGGTCACCCAGTGATATTCATGGCTGAGTACGGATTTGAACCCTAGTCTCCCAGCACCCTGTCCAACACTTAACACCACACTGGTACGCGATGCCTTTGCTACATACTTTCAGCTACTTTACTACTAAATGCTGCCTTAGAATTCCTTTCACGGATTCCTTTCTGGCTTTTAAATAGCTACTGATGTTTTTTTAAAATAAAAAAAATGTACATTTATAAGGAACAGCAGCACATGAAATCTGATATAAGCATAGGACTGGCCAAATGAAACAAATAGAAAAGATGCAGAGTTAGGAAGTACAAGGCCCAGTTCGAATCCCTGCCTAGCCTCTGGGCCATCAGTCTACTTCTTTCTCCCTTAGGATCAACTTGTTTTCTTCAAGTGACATTGTTTTTAACCAAAAGCAGCTGCGCAGAACTGCAATCTAGATCGGAAGTTGAGGAGTGTGGGGAGAGGAGCTTATCTCTTCCTTTACAGGTCATTTTTCTCTCAGAATAGCCCTTTCTAAGTTTAGCCCTGCCACACTGGGCATTTCTTATCCAGACTTGTTTTGGTTAAAGCAAACTTTGTTTTTTTAGAAATCCCTCATAAGAAATTAGGCTATGTATACACATTTTATTTTAAAATCATTGGGACAGAATACTTGGTGTGTCCCACCCCCTATATAGTCCATGTTCAATCTAGTTCTATTGAATATCCCCACCCCCTGCGGAAAAGGGCTTCTTGGGAACATAACAACTCATTGCCGACTGATTCTGCATGTGTCCATTTGAAAACAGAAGAAAACATCAGCCTGGGCAATGGGTGTGTTTGTATCCACACCTGCCCAGGGACATTGTAAGAGGGTGTAGCATCCTTGTAAAAACCCTTAAAGTATTCCTAGTTTTGCACCTGTTGGTTATTGAACAAAGTGAGATTCAGAAATGAGATAAGAACTAGAGGCTCTTATGGAGAAACCGCCACCGTTACAGGGGATAAGCAAGGAACAAAGGACGCTTTGTTTGTCCTGCCTTTATTTTTTTAGTGTGAGGTGTCTGATAGGGAGTTTGTGCAGTTGGAGTTTGTGCTTTGAAACTCTCCTGCAGGCCTTTTTATTTTGGTCTTGCTCAGTGGCGGCAGCAGCACCCGCCCCGTTTATGATTAAGATCCAGCCTCCTGGCGACGGCTGACAAATCTGGAAGCTTGCTCACTTCTTTGTGACCTTTCAGTTGATTCCAACAGCACCACACTACTGTTACTAAGGATTCCTTCCCCATTCCCTCAATGGACCAACACAGCTACTTCCAATTTTTCTCCACTTCTTAAAGTGCAACGCAAAATCAACCATGATTTAGTCTGAGAGAGAAATCAATCAGGCAGGCAGGAGGGGCTGGGGAGCAGCTTAAATGTGCAAGCCCATTTAAAGAAAAAAATATCCTTAGAATTCCTCTAGATTTGGCCTGATTCCTACTGAGGAGCTGGCTGCCGTCTCCTTTTCTCTTTGATTTAATGACAGAAGTATCCAGGAGGCTTCCAAAGCCAAAGGCCCCATATGTTTGACATTCTTTTTCTTCTGGGAAACTGGAAATGACCTCGGACCTCAATGCTTATAGTCAGCCAATTTGTGTGTTTACTGAATTGTTGTTACTATCCCCCCCACCCCACCCCAAGGGAATCTAAAGGGAATATACTTTTGCCTGAGACGGAATTTTGAAACTCCAAAAATAACTTTTTGGCTCCTTTGTAATACTTTCTGTGAGTGCTGTTGAGCTTCCCCTTTTTATTCTCTGACCTTTTCACTCTTGCAATCTCTCTCTTGACTTTTCTGCTGATTCTGGTGAGGCCATTGGCTCATTTGCTCTGATGTCATGGCGACCCTGTGTGAGAATGAGAGGCGACAGGGTCTCTTGTGGATCTTTTGCTTAGCTGAATGCTAATGGGAAGTGCAGAATCTGAATTCTAAGACTGGTCACATGAAACCTCTGGTACATTCAAGCACATGCATATTGCCTACAAGACTTGAGTACAGTGGTACCTTGGGTTACATATGCTTCAGGTTACAGACGCTTCAGGTTACAGACTCTGCTAACCCAGAAATAATAGTACCTCGGGTTAAGAACTTTGCTTCAGGATGAGAACAGAAATCCTGCTCCGGCGGCGCAGCAGCAGCAGGAGGCCCCATTAGCTAAAGTGGTGCTTCAGGTTAAGAACAGTTTCAGGTTAAGAACGGACCTCCGGAACGAATTAAGTACTTAACCCGAGGTACCACTGTATTTGAATGACTGAATTCCTCATGCAAATGGAATGATTCTTACAAGCCATAGCCATAGTCAACTTATACCAGTACTTGCTGTTTATAAGGTCACATCTTGGAATGCATCAGAACTGTGTGCAGTAAAATATGCACAGTATTATGAGAAACTGTGATTCTCTTAATGCGGATGTACCAAAACAACCAGCTGTGTGAGGGAGCATATGTGTCCACATTAATGTGTTAGAATGCAGCCTGTATACCTCTTAATATGGATGTTACAGAACAATGCAGCTCTGAGGTGCTGTCGGCTTTTTGACATAGACATCAGGATGGGTTTAGATAAGAATTGCTTACTTGGAATTTTGTACCTTTATTACTTCTAAATTAGTATGTTTAGGATTACAAACTAAGGCTGTTATCACGTGCCACTTAAAAAGCACTCTGTGTCTGATACTGGACTAAACTACCTACATTGGCTAATGTGATTTTTAAAAGTAGACTTCTGCTGCTGCCTGCTGCCTGGTGTATGAACATCACCCACACATATGCACAAAATAGTACATGAAGAGACAATTACAGTATCATGAAAGAACAGCCAACTTTTGTAGGTCTCCAAGAGACAATCCTATATTCTGTTCAATTTATTACAGTGCCATATGTACGGTAATTCTTTGCAGTCCTTTATCTGAGACACCACATTTATTGACGTTAAATCTGATTAATGTTGCAAGGTTTAAATTCTGTAGCCTTTATCACAAATGCACTTCCTGAATCAAATTATTCTTCATTGAAGCTTTTGTACTGCTTTCTTCCACTATATTTGTAATATTAATTTTTCCATTCATCTGACATGATTTGATTGCTAAGAAACCATTCTTTTTCTGTGAACCTCATGCTGGCAAATCTCTTATGCACTCATTTGGTCCACTATAAATCATAATATTCACAAGTTATTTCTTAAACATTTGTCCTTTACTTATTTGCCTTCACCCACAGCATGCAGTTGGCTTGGCTCACTTTCTTAAGCTATCTTTCTATAGCCATTTGTTGTCCAGGTACATTTTTGGGATGCAGCTGCTCTGAGTTTGCAGCATTTTTTCCTGCCAGTGAGACCTTGTCTTAGATAAGGAGTTCAACTCATGTACAAATGATGTGTTTATGGAGCAAGATTTTGAATTTTAACTCAGTAAAGATGTCCTCTTGCCTCATATGTATAATTTACTTAAATATAAACCAGGCCGTTCTGTCTGAGGAAGGAGTTCACTCCTGCTTCTTGGTTTCAGCTAAGGCCTTCAGCAATTCTTGAGTGCAGATTCGCAAGGAATACAAGCAACTCTTCTGTCACTGTGATTTAAATGAGGTTAGGATCTAGCTCATTATCTGTTTAACAGTTCATTGACACAAGGCACTGGAGGCAAAAAAATCTCAATCTCTGGGAGGGGGGGGAATGGTACCTGTTAGGGTTCCAAGGGGTTGCTTGAGAGTAAGCAGGCAAATGCCTCCCTGCTCGGCTGTGAAGCCTTGCTTTCGATGCCAAAATAAACTTTATCTGTCCAGAGCGCCACTCTCCCGTGGCTGGCTCATTCACTGGCAGAATCCGTGAGTGGCTGGTCCTTAAACCTTCCCCAGCAGAGTAGTTTCTTGACACCCAGTCTGCGTCTCCCCCCTCAGCGCAGAAGCTTACTGCGCAAGGAGGGCGTGGGTAACGGAGGACCTCTCTCCTCCCCGCTTTGCCCAGGCAAGGTGTCCTGGCACCGCCTCGCCTCCTCTGAGCCCTTAAGCTCCTCTCCACTGGAGGGCAAACCCTGGGATGACAACTACACCCTGTCTCCCACCCGTATGACCTTGTCTGCCTGCCTTTTGTAGACTTCTTTAGCCCTTTCCAAGTTTAGCCGGAGTTGTTGGTGCAAGGCCTCCATCTCTTCTGCAAATTGCTCCGCCGCTGGCACACTCCATTCCTCCTCTCCACGCCCTGGGAAGGCCCTGGGGCGACACCCATAATTGGCCATGAAGGGGCTCATTCCTGTGGACACGTGTTCAGCGTTGTTGTACGCAAATTCAGCTAGCGCCAATTTCTCTACCCAATCGTTCTGCCTCTCACTGACATAACAGCGTAGGTACTGCTGTAGTATTCCATTCGCCCTTTCAGCCTGGCCGTTGGTTTCTGGGTGCCTTGGTGTCGAGAAGTTCACCTCTACCTGCAGCAAGCTCATGAGTTTCCGCCAGAACCGCGAGGTAAGTTGTCTTCCTCGATCGGCTGTCTCCTCTGCTGACACCGCATGAGAGCAGGCCACGAAATGGCACATTTTAGTCAGTAGATTGACCACCACCATCACCGCTGTTTCCCCCCTTGACTTGGGCAGATCTGTCATAAAATCAATGGACACCACCTCCCAGGGCCTCTCTGGTGTGGATAAGGGTTCCAGTAACCCCGCTGGTGTGGTTCTTTCCCCTTTGGCCCTCTGGCACCTGTCGCACCCCCGGACATATTCTCGTACATCCTCCCTTACCTTGGGGCACCAGAACTGTCTGGTGACTAAGTAGCATGGTCTTATGCTGCCCAAAATGCCCGGCTGTTGGGTTGTCATGGAGCTGCCTAAGTATCTTGGCCCTCAATGTCTCTCCCGGAGCATACAGTGCCCCTTTGTAGTACAGGAGCCCTCCTTTTTCCTCAAACCCCCCATTTCCCCCCTTTCCATCTCTGAGCTCCCTGATTTTAGTCTGAGCAAACGCATTGTGTCTGGTCAGCCCAACCAGTTCTTGGTCCACAGGAGGTCCTTCACCTTCCATGTACTCAGGTTTCCTGGAAAGTGCGTCCGCCTTCACATTCCCCCCCTCCCCCAGGTACGTATTGTATTTTGAAGTGATACTGTGAGAACACCTGCGACCATCTGACCTGTCTCTGGTTAAGCATGTGCGCTGTCCGCCAGTATTCCAGGTTTTTGTGGTCCGTTCGGACCTGGATCTGGTGCCGCGCCCCAATCAAAAAGTGTCTCCACTGCTGAAAGGCCGCGTAAATGGCCAGCAATTCTTTGTTATAAACAGTGTAATTTTGCTCTGACTTGCTCAGTTTCTAGAAACCCTCATCCTCATTGGTGGTGTCTGGTGTGTCACTCCCCCGCCCCCCAGTAGCTCCCTGCCATCAATGGTGGTCACCTGCAAGGGGAAATCTAGTGGCAACAGGTGTAGCTGGTGCTCCAGAGTAAAGTCTCTACTGAAGAAATTACATGACGAACCCGAATCCAGCAGAGCATTCACTTGTACTGGGTGCCCGTTTGGGAATTCTAGCACCACTTCAACTGCTATGGCTGCCTTGGGAGGGTCTGGTTGGGGCTCTTCTACTGGTCACTTGCCTGGCTGCTGCCCCTGTTGGTCTGCAGCCAAGCTTTTTCGTTTCCCTGCACCTGCGCCTTCTCTCCCTCTTCCTCTTGGCTTGCTGCCCCCATCATGCCTTGCCAGGCGTTTCTCTGGGGACAGACCTTTGCGAAATGTCCAGGGCGCTGACAGACGAAACACTTCTTGGCTGTTTTCCAGTCCCTTCCCTCCTTCTTCCTGAGCTCACTGGTGCTTGAAACCGCGCGTGCACGGGCTCCATCAATTTCAATCAATTTAGCATATTTAAAATGAGTTGCTAATACATTCTAGTAATAGGTATTCAGCAACTGAACTACAATGCTGTGAAATAACTGGGTGCACTCAACTGCAGTTTTTGCACAGATTTAAGATATACTAAAAAGGTAAAGGTAAAGGGACCCCTGACCATTAGGTCCAGTCATGACCGACTCTGGGGTTGCGGCACTCAACTTGCTTTATTGGCCGAGGGAGCCGGTGTACAGCTTCCGGGTCATGTGGCCAGCAGGACTAAGCCACTTCTGGCGAACCAGAGCAGCGCACGGAAACACCGTTTACCTTCCCGCCGGAGCAGTACCTATTTATCTACTTGCACTTTGACGTGCTTTCGAACTGCTAGGTTGGCAGAAGCAGGAACCGAGCAACGGGAGCTCACCCAGTCATGGGGATTCGAATCACAAACCTTCTGATCAGCAAGTCCTAGGCTCTGTGGTTTAACCCACAGCTCTACCCGCGTCCCCTTAAGATATACTAGTTGGCTTTAAATGGTATCTGCAAGTGCAGGTACTATTTATTTTTTAAACTGAAAAGTTACACACTTCAGTATACCCAAGGAAAAAAACCCCAAGGCAGTTTACAACAAGAAAACCAATATAATAAAACACTAATTACCAATAATTTTTTCAGAATTTTGTTTTGGGGGCGGGGGAGGGAGAAAGGGAGAGAGAAAGCAAAGCAAAAACATGTGCCACAAGAAACAGTTCCTTGTACAAAGGGGAACACAAAAATTCCCCTGGAGCAATTTGCAAATATCCCAGCAGGAAGTTATTTTATTATTTAAAAATCCAAAAGCCTTACTTGTGTTCTGCACAAAACTCCAGGGCAGGTCGGGCACAATTCACATGTTGGCCCCGTAAATTTGGGATCTGTGCAGTTACAGACTCCACACTTGCAGATTCCTCTGCCATTACAGATTTGCCCATTTCCAGCTACACACGGGGCGGTGTCCATGTAACAATCACAAGCAGAGCCTGTATAATTTTCTGCGCATTCACACTCACGACATTTACATTCACCATGTCCTGCAATAAAAAGATAGGTATTTAGTTTCTATAAAGCACATGAAATTGAACATCAACAACTGCCATAATCTGATTTAATTTGACAGAAGCATTCAAAGTTGATTGTATTTCCCACCACCCAGGTAAAGGAATAGATCATGTGACTTCTATTTCAACCATAAGATCCAGTACTGCAAGTCTCTTCCACAATTCCAAGGAGAGGACATGCTGTACCACTAATCTCCAAAGGCCAACTCTATAGAGACAATGGTGTCCTGTCTGCAGGATATGAGGTCCACATTGTAGCCCTACAAATTTCTATGAAATTGGTGGAGAACTCCTATGAGTGTGCTTTCATAGAATGAGGTTTGTTAAAAGTTGGGTCTTGCATGTTGTGGCCATACATGACTTGACCATCTGACTGTAGTAGAGCTTAAGACCTTGGTCTGCCTCAGAGGCCAGCAAACCTGGGAACAATGTGCCTTTAGAAAGCAAGGGCAGAAAATCATTGTTGCTGAACAATTTTGAGGTTCATCTTGCATGCTATTATCTAACCACTCACTCTGCTATGTCCACTGGCAGTTTGCTGAGAGTGCTGATTTTAGATTGCACTGTCACTTGGAGCTCCTAATCAGAATATTCTCCTTTCAAAATGGTGTCAAAAGTTGGCACAAAGGTAAGGGATTAATGGTGTTTGGCAGGTTCCTCCCCATATTATCTTCCTAACCTGTACGATCCAAAGTGGACAGTTTTGGCTCTCTCTGTAATCTCTCAAGTTGCACTCCCACTGAATGGCTCCCACCACAGCAATGGCCAGCATGTACTGCTTCCAGATCACAAGAACTAGAGACACTGTGGGCACTGGAAGTCTCTGTGGCAGCCAGAGCAGCTGTATAGGGTCTTTTCTTTAGGGTCTTTGACAATACTTAGTTGTAGGCTCGGTGATTACTCATTTCCCAGTTGGTCCCCTGAGTCAGAAAATAAGAGGAAAAGCAAAAGTGGAGAATAAAAGGTTTGTTTGTTTTTTTAAGGCAAAAAGGAATGATCCAGAAAAAGGAGTAGGAAATAACAGAAACTAACAAAAAAGGGCCAAAGGAAGTGCACACTGTAGCTAGAGGAGCTGCAGCTGAACAACTTGGCCTGGATAAGATAGGACCAGATCTGGTGGTTGAACTCTAGGCCACATAACCCCTGCCTTTTACTTGATGTCTCTTCTAAATTTATAAATTAAAGTCTTGTGAAGGCATACAATAAAGGCTACAGTGTATGATTCTCTTCAGAAAAAGCCCCTCTCCTTTTACTAATAGTATTACTGTGTACTGTATTGCACAGCAGAGTATCACAAGCCAAGAAGATCTCCTCCCAAATGTTAGGCTCTCACGCTTAGAAATAAGTACAGGACTGCATCCAAGCATTCCCCTTCCTCCAGAGGAACTTCTGAATCCTCACAGTTTTAAAAGGGTCAGTTCATTACCTCCACAAATCAAGCCATCAGATCGATCACAGTTGAAGTTATCACATTCGCAAAACCGGCCAAAGTAGATCTCATTTGCATTCTCTCTCTTCCTGCACACACACTGTCCACAAATACATTCTCCATTGTTACTACATATTTCTGAACTGTTTGCTGGTCTACAGGTGCTTGACATATCTTCACTGTTTACTTCATCCATGCTGCATTCACAGAGCTTTCCAATACGTCCTGGTTTACACCTAAAAGAGAAAATGGTTCTCATTACTAAACTGTTAACTAAAATCAATGCAAAACTTTCTTTCCCCTTATATACATATTGAGAAGGGGGTGGGATGCATAGCTACAGGAAACAGTCTCTTTCACGAGAGCATGATTCATCCTAGAGGCAGACGTTCCGAAACTCAAGAGCAGCAGTTTGGGGAAGCTGCTGAATGACTCTTCTACTAAGTTCATTAATATAGCAGCTGCTCCTAATTGCTGTAAAAATAATATAAATGCTAATTTATTCCAAAGGTGAAATGAGGCACATGCCTGCTTGACACACCAGACATTCATTTTTCTATGCTAGAAAGGTCTTGAAGAATGGTCTGCTACAATTGCACTTAAGAACAGGTCCAATCAGCCTGCAACAGTATTAGTATTCACCACTTATATAATAATAATAATAGTTATATATTTGTTTATTGCCCACTTTATTCCCCACAGGACTCAAACAGATAAAAACAACACCCATAAAGTACATAGCGCTTTCAAAAACGAAACAAAAAAACAGTGTGGTCAAAATTACTTTTGGAAATACATGGGAATTTAAAGATCCTGGTAGGAATAAGCAGCCGGTGTTCATGGGGGAAAGGAAGGCAGGAGGGGCCAGTATGATATGACTGAAGGTACCTGAAAGCCCAGCATTAAAATACAAATTTCATGCTTGCTTAAGGAGCTGACTTGGGTTCCCTTCCCTTTATTCATTCGTTTTTTCCTATATGAGGAGAAAGGACACACAACTTCTCTTTGTGTAAGGATTATGTGGCACAGGAAGGAAAGAGGTTAAGAAAGAAACAAGGATGGGAAATGGACCAAGCTAAGCAAACAATGAAGTAGCGGGGGGTATTGAGAGAAAAATGAAATAATGATTACATTGACCTGCCAAGCAAGGGGAAGTGGGTGAAGACGCAGTGCAGAAATAGCAGGAGATGGGAAAATGAGAAGGAAAATGAGATACGTGGTAGGAATTGGGGAAAACCTGAGGTTTGGAGAGAGGCAGGTGGTGGATAGAAATGATGAATGAAAAAAATGAGTGAAGGGCCATTTAAAGTAGGAGGAAAAGGGGAGTGGCAGAGAATAGGGACTCTTGTGAGTTCTCCAAAGCATCTATTTTCAGTGTCGAGACTCAACCCTGAAGCATGTGAGGAATACATGGAGGTTCTCCTGAGCTGGTGGACAGCACATTCCCTTCTGCGCTGATTCCACCCAAGAAGAATCAGGGAAAGGTCTTCCAACTAAATTTGTGTCTAGTCTGGGATATTTTGGGGGGCCATTTACAGTCAAGGGATATTTTATTTCCTAGCAGATTTATCTGAGGGAGAGAAAAAAACATTAATATTTATCTACCTGCAGGCACCACACTCAAATGTTCCATTCCAAAAAGCAAATAGGGCTGTCTGGAATTCCGTCCTTGTGACATTCACATTCACAGATGAAATCCAGATTAATTTCTACCTCTTCAGTGAAACCTAGTGGCTTGATTTTAATGGTTTCACCCTGCCCTTTTTCTGGACACTGGTTGGCTGTTACTTTAATCTCAAAGCTAACCTGTAAGCAAAATAAAGAGTACATAGGTAAATTGTTTGACACTGATTAGAGGGGGTGAAGCAATAGCACACTGATTCCAGAATGCAGAAAGTTACCTCATCTCCAATTGAAATGTTGGAGCACTTTCTTCCTTCATCTCCTGTACCATTCACTCCATTCTTGCAGAAAGATTTATATTCAATTGTGACTTCTTTTGGTAGTTTGTTGTTTTCCAGAATGACTTCTGAAGACAATGACTAACACAAAAGTCAAGTAGTTTAGTGAAGGATAATGGAACATGCAGCCCAACTTCATCTGGAAAGCCACAGGTTTTTCTACTCTGTGGTCTCCCAAATGTCCAAACTGTTCCTTAAAAACACTTGGAAAATACTCTCTTGCAAGAGATACATATTCAACAGATTCTAACTAGTCCTTTTACAACGTGCATTTCTGAAGGGACTACAGTGGTACCTTGGTTCTCAAACACCTTGGTACTCAAACAACTTGGAACCCAAGCACTGCAAACCCGGAAGTAAGCGTTCCTGTTTGTGAACTTTTTCTGGAAGCTGAACGTGCTCCGTTTTGAGTGCCACACTTACATTTTGAGAGTTATGCTGAGTTCTGTCTGTTTTTGCTATTTATTTTACATTTTTGTTTTTGCGGCTCTTTTTTGTTTTGTTTTTGTTACTGTGTGGAACCCAGTTCAGCTACTGATTGATTGTGTGACATTGTTTATTGCTTTCATTTTATGGTTCAATGGTCTCGTTAGATAGTAAAATTCATGTTAAATTGCTGTTTTAGGGGTTGTTTTTTAACGTCTGGAACGGATGAATCCATTTTGCATTACTTTCTATGGGAAAGCGCGTCTTGATTTTGGAACCGACTTCCAGAACGGATTAAGTTTGAGAACCAAGGTACCGCTGTATTAGTTTTCTCTGTATCTTGACACAGCAAGTTTTGAACTAGTGTTACTGTTTTCTCGTGGGCTTTGTGCAGCCAGCGTCATTGTAGCTTACAAAACGGATAAAAGAGATTGATAAAAGTGTAGTTCTGATAAGATCAGAACTGCTATTTTCCTCTCCCAACTCCTCCCCCGAAAAGCCACACACAAACATATTGAAAAGGACTGCAGACTGTTTAAGGCTTTATAGGTTTGAACTGGGTCTGGAAACTGACAGCCAGTGCAGTGAAGCCAGGACCAGTGCAATCTGCTCAAACCTGTCTTGCCCTGTGAGCAAGGTCTCTGGGTGGCTAGAATGGGAAGCTACCAACTCTTTTTATACTACATATACAACCCAGAACCTCATCTGCTTAAATAAGGGATGGGGAATCTCCAGCCAGGCCTCCCCATTTGGCACAAGAGTCCAAGCCATGGCTACCTGCCCTACACCTGACATTGTATGTGACAAGTGTGGGGCAAGGCAGGGCTGGGTAAAAGGTGCTTTGAAGCTGATCATCAGTGCTGGAGAAGCACTGCACAAAGGGTTTCTTCAGTGCTGACAATCAGCTGACTGATGGCAACAGATAAATACTGCACACATTTTTTGCTTATACATTTGATTTCAAACCATGCAAGCGAAGATTGCCATTGCAACATCAGGTGATTGACAAGGGGGTGGCCCTGTCCACCTGTCAAACTTGACTTGTGTGTATATGTATATGTGGCGAGGTCCGGATCCCCACTGAGGTCTTCAACAAAATACATCCTTTATTGTATACAAAACACGTTGTCTTTGGGTGTATGTGGCGATAATGAAAACTGGTGAACTCACATTGTAGGCATCAATTATCAGTTGAATCACGTTACTGGAGTTTGAAGAGAGTGTTCCCACAGCAGATTTTGGAATCAAATTCTTGAGCTCCTTTACATGAGAAGAGTGAGAAAACCATTTAGTTACAATCATAAGCAGCACATAGATTAATTCTATACACAAAATGCCATTTATAGGTAAAGGTAAAGGACCCCTGACAGTTAAGTTCACTCGTGAATGACTCTGGGGTTGCGGCGCTCATCTTGTTTTACTGGCCGAGGGAGACGAGATTTGTCCGCAAACAGTTTTTCCAGGTTATGTGGCCAGCATGACTAAGCCGCTTCTGGTGAAACCAGAGCAGCGCATGGAAATGCTGTTTACCTTCCCGCTGGAGCAGTACCTATTTATTTTAAAAGATAGCTGAAGGTGGCCCTGTTTAGGGAAGTTTTTAATGTCTGATGCTGTATTGTTTTTAATATTTGGTTGGAAGCTGCCCAGAGTGGCTGGGGAAACCAGCCAGATGGGCGGGGTTTAAATAATAAATTATTATTATTATCATCTACTTGCACTCTGACGTGCTTTCGAACTGCTAGGTTGGCAGGAGCTGGGACCGAGAAACGGGAGCTTACCCCGTTGTGGGGATTCGAACCGCCAACCTTCCGATCAGCAAGCCCTAGGCTCAGTGATTTAGACCACAGCACTACACGCCTCCCATATAGAAAACCATAGGTATACAGAATTCAATTTCTCAAGTTTCTAACACATACATAGAACAGGGGTGGGACAACTGCAACCCTTCAACTCTCTACATTCCCACCTAGGGTGGGTGGGGGTAAATACCATTATTGCCTAGAGAGCACCACTGGTCGTGTGGGTGGAGGCATTTTCAGGCTGGGAAATCTCAGCTGGTGAGGGAAGGGACTCTATAGAAGCTTTTGTCGCTTGCTCTTACCTTGTAAACTGGTTGAAATTCTTGTGTAACAGCAAATATTATCTGAATATTATTGTCATTTAGCTTCTGAACAAGGTGTGCAATGGAGGGATAATCCTGAAGAATGAAGTTTACATTTTATATATACTTGAATTTCACACACAATAACATTCTTATATACCATTTTCTATACAAACATAAGCAAGAGCAAACAAAAGAGTCAAAAACATTTTTTGAAAAAGCAATCCATCAACTCTCATTAACAGAAGCCTCTAAGTCTCAGATTCTTCATTCTTATCAAAGCATTACTTAGGCTTTTTCTTGTATTTTGCCAGTTAAATAAATGTTCTCCAGTTCTTGGGTTTCTCTCTGGATTCAGAAAAGGAGTTTTAGCAAAGTAGGATAACTTGGTTTTAAAATAGGCAAACCAAACTTGGCATTCTTCCTCTATGAAGAAAAATGTGAGGGCTACTATAACAAAATTAAAAATCTCTACATGTTTTTACATACAAGCTCTGCTAGCGCTGGTCCATGAAAGCTTACAGACCTTGCTATTTTAAAAGTTTAAACTATAAGCTAAACTTTCAATGGGTGTTCTTCTCAAAGCATTCTTCTACATTGGGGGGGGGAGTATACTGGGATTGTCTCCCATTTCTACACGTGTGCATATTTGCGTGAGAGAGAGAGAGAGAGAGGCACACATACACAATAACATACATGTAAACACAAAATTAAACATTCTCTTAAGCATACTTACATAATAATGGCTCATTGTGTACATATTGTTATCTAAATGACATCGCCCGTCATTTGGCAAGACAATTCCTCCAAGTTTCCCATCTCCAGCAAAATGAAATCCAGCATCCGTAGAAAATACCAACAACCGAGTGACATTTCTCCATCCAAGTTCTGACTTGAGAAGAAATTTTATATATATATATATATATATATATATATATATATATATATAAGCAAGGATCATTGTGAAAGAATATGGTAGCAGAGAAAACTGAAAAATGAGTGATCAGTATCCCCATGTATTTTTTAGCAAATATAAGCTCTCCACCCATCACTACTGTACAGTTTTGATAGTAGCTTCAGGAACATGTGCATGACATAAAAACATAATGTGGGAAGAAGCCACCTGAACACACCCGGAAGTGACAGCTGGGATGTGTTGGCACTAGGATACAGTTGCTCCAGCTTATGGTCAAGAGGCATGGAGAAATGACCATGCAACCTTTGCAGCTGGAGGTTGACTCAGAAAGCTTCAAAGCAAGAGAGGGGGAGGATTCCACTTGTACACTGAAGTTGCCTTCCCATTTCCCCCTGAAAATTGCTAGCACCCGTCACTTGGGCATCCAGATCAGAGTTCTGGTCCAGGGTTTTACTTTATATCTTTACTAGCTAAGTGTGTATGGGGCGAGGTGGGGTGGGGGGTGGGGGATATGAGCTGGGTTCCCTCAAAATACACTGCTGGCTAATAACTACTAGAACTGAAAATCAGCAGCTAGACTTTATAGGAGTAAGACTAGAAGCAGTAGAAGAGAGGGTCTGCAAATCATAGATTGGTGACTGAAACCTTTTGTTGTTGTTGAAGAGAGAGAGAGAGAAAGAGTACACAATGACTACGCCTTTTGTTTCCTGTGCAAGAGCTGCAACAAACAAACCCTTATGAGTACGCATGTGGTTGTATGCCTTTTAAGGATCCCCAGCACTGGCTTTTAACTGCTTATCATTGTACCTTTTCAATATTTGTGTCCAGGAAGTTAAATTAACACTTTTGATCCATTAAATCTGAATAACAGCCAAGGGTCTACAAGTCAATTGCATTTATAGTAATATGCAAAAGAAATGAAAATACACTTACACCACAAACAGCAACCTGCATTATTGCATCAAATCCACCTTCAGGAGAATCCAGATTGCCAGAAATCTGTTGATCACCTACAAGCTTATTGAACAGATTTCCATCGCTGGTAAAGTTGAGTACATTCCTGTAGCTAAAAGGGCTTGTACAGTTATGGTCAACGGTGCATGGGTTCTTCAGTTTGGCTGGTGTAGTACTAATATAAGGTATTACAGTTTGTTCAACTAAAGAGCCAAAACCAGAGAGAGAGAGAGAGAGAGAGAGAGAGAGGACGTAGAATGGAACTCTATTAGTTCTGAGAGCAATAGAAAGCCCTATAGAGAAGCCACCAAGTTGCAGGGCAGGTTGCACTCTAGCAAAAGACATTCTTTTTCATCAGGAAACAATGGGAAGCTTGGTCTACCAGGTAATGAAGAATCCAGGAGGAAGTGGTTCTGAAGGGTCAGAACTCACCCTTAGCAAGGGTTATACTGAATGTCTTCTACACAGCAGACATGTTTGGAAACCCGGAGAGGCTATTTGGTTGTCATGTGGGTTTCTTTTGAGCATGTGTTCATCCCAAAGAAGCAGGATATATTGCCTGGAAGGAGTGCTATGAACTGGGACCATGTAGACATTTTACTTTCTCAAGAGGCTGTATATGAAACCCAGTAGGAATTCCAATGTTTACATTAAACCAATCAACTTTGGGTTGTATTCAACCAAGTCCTACTTAAAAGTAGATAGGGACGCGGGTGGCGCTGTGGGTTAAAGCCTCAGCGCCTAGGACTTGCCGATCGAAAGGTTGGTGGTTCGAATCCCCGCGGCGGGGTGCGCTCCTGCTGCTCGGTCCCAGCGCCTGCCAACCTAGCAGTTCGAAAGCACCTCCGGGTGAAAGTAGATAAATAGGGACTGCTTACTGGCGGGAAGGTAAACGGCGTTTCCGTTTGCTGTGCTGGCTTGCCAGATGCAGCTTGTCATGCTGGCCACGTGACCCGGAAGTGTCTCCGGACAGCGCTGGCCCCCGGCCTCTTGAGTGAGATGGGCGCACAACCCTAGAGTCTGGCAAGACTGGCCCGTACGGGCAGGGGTACCTTTACCTTTACCTTTTTACTTAAAAGTAGATCCATTCAAACTACTCATTAGCTTTGAATACTATGTGTTAAGTTTGTGCATGACTTAAGTTATCTTCAGAACAAAAGCATTGACAATAAACTTGAATAACTTAAGTTTACTGATCCCAATTAGTCTACTGTGAGTATACCTTAAATTTGATGCAACCTATTATAATCCTTGCTTCTGCTAGCTTGCATATAGGCTCTCAGGTTTGCTCTATCCAAATCTGTTTTTATCCAGCAGCAATCTAATACAGAATCTATGTTATAAAAGTATGCATTTTCTTCTCCTAGTACAAACTTACTAAATCATGTTTATATTTCTGAGCACATGCATATTACACATGTATATTTCTCTTTACATTTTGACATGATAAACGGAACTATGTAAAGAAAAGCAAGCCCTAATTTATAATGATCATAAACAAAACTATTACCAATTCGAAAATCTGAAGTTATATTCTTCATTTTACTCATGATAGAAGTTCCAAGGCTTTTCACATTCTCCAAGTCATCTTTCATAGAGTAGGAGAGATCCATAAGGTAATAAAGATCAATGGGATAATCTTCAGCTCTCTTAAATTTTAATGAAAATGTCTGTGGTTCCCCTAATCCCAGAAAAAGAAATAAAAGTTTTAAAGCAAAAATTCCATAATGACACTAGACAGTAAGTACGCTAAACATGTAAGTGCACTGACACTTCCACCCTATGCTTAGTGCCTCTGTCTTGCTAGAATATATCCTTGAGCTGTGAGGCCGCCTCTTCCTTGCCTGGATGGAGGGTAGAGATCTGTGTGTGAGGTGTCAGCTTATTTTAAAACCTCTTTGGCATAGGTGGAAAATAGTCCACTGTACTAAGTCACACCTGTTGCTCCTCCTACATTTGCCTTAGGCCCTGCACACCAATGGCACATGGCCTCCAGAAGATGGCCCTTTATTCCAACATAGGGGGAGGGTTCAGGGCCTTGCCACACAAGTATAGCTCTGAGGGGAACATTGGGATCTCCTGCTTCAAGTGGTATGATCATGAATTCAACGTGCAGTGCAGATGGGGCCCAAATCTACTTAGGAGGATACTTCCAATAGGATAATCCAGTTGCTGTTTCCAATGGTAAACACATTTTTTGTACATTTCCAGTTCCTGCTCGCTAGGCACTCCAAAATATGTATCGCAGTTATCAATGCCTGGGGCACATTCTGTGCTTCCTCTGAGCAGTTCCAAAGCATTTTCAGGGTGAAGAAAAGCATTTTTGACCCCAAATCAATCTTAAACCATTTATGCATGTACCAAAATTGTTTTGAAAGCCGCAATATTCTGGAAATTACCCCACACCATGTTTCATGAAGACTGGTCATTTAAGAGCTTCAGATGCGTTTCTTGAATAGGGTAAGTTGAATGTTCATGTGCAAAAGTGTCTGTCCAAAGGAATTTGAGTTGCCGTTCTGACCAATGCTGCTCAAGGCAATATACTTAAGGTGGGGAAACTACTAGAAAATCAAGGTACAATGGCTTGATCAAGGTACAACGTTCCCACCTGTTGAAGCTGGATATATCTGTCATCTATCATCTATCTATCATCTATCTATCTATTCATCTATCTATCTATCTATCTATCTATCTATCATCTATCTATCATCTATCTAAATGTTTTGACAGTTCTAGTCAATTTCTTGAATAATGGTGAGAACATAAGGAATAAGACATCACTGTTAATCTGACACCCTTACCTATTCGCAGCTTTAATTGTACTTGCTGTGGTTGAATCTGAGTAATGTCTTCCAGTTTAAGATTCTCAGCAGCCCCTTTGACACGATTGGTTACTTCCTTGTTTTTCGGCACAGCTTGTGAGCCTCTGGGATTTTCTATTTCATCTGGAGGGCAGCCCTTAGTTTTTAAAACTTCCAAATCATCACATCGTGTTGAAGTAGATTCTCCTTCTTGAAAGAAGGTCTAGCAAACATAAACAAAATCAGGTTCTAAATTGTTCACAGTAGGTTCATCTCCAACTATACTACCACCATGGTTCATTCCGCTATCACCTGTCCCTGCAAGGAAGTCCTGGGGGAAGGGTCGAGATGCAAGGGCCTAGCAGAGCTAGCAAAAACAGGAGACAGCTGCAGGATGGGCAGGGTAGACTGTAAAGGCACAGACTCAGAAAAGGAGTCATGACACCAGTGTGGGCGTGGATCACGGTTGCAACCACAAGCTACAAGGAGAGGAGGAGAATGAAAGAGATGTGAGGCAGACTCAGAGAGGAAGAAGTCCTGGCATTTGAAAGAAAGGGCTCTTGCTTCCAGCAGAGGGGTTGTGATGGAGCAGTAAAGCCAAAACCAGCTGGGTTCTTGCCAGGAGCCAAGTGCCAGAGAGGCAGAGGAGACAGGAACTGAACTCGAGAGACAACACAGCCAGAAAAACAGCTCTGTTGTGGGACAAAATTAAGTGTTTAGTCCAGGCACAAAAAGAAAGAGCCAACAGCAAATCTGATGGGGGGCCTGCACATTGTCATTGTTAGTGTGCCTGCAACCGTGTGGAAGAGACCAAAACAAGGAAGGTTTTATACATAATTTTAGCGAGATCACTTCTGAAGGGAGTGAGGGAGTAATGCATTCGTTTGATGTAGAGCTACTCCATCATAGCTCTCAGTCCTGGAGGACCTGCCCCCTGCCTTGAAAGCCTTTTTTCACCTGGCCTGAGATCTACAAAAGCTGAGGCTGTTGAACAGAATCTTGGGTTGGGGTGGTTTTGGGCGGGTGGAGCAAGGAGTTGTTGCTGTTGATTTATTGTATCTTTATTTTAGATATTGTTGTGATATATGTGGAAACTGTTCTGTTTGGTTGTGTTCTTTTAAAATCAATTTATTCATTGTTTTTGACTCATTTTGTTATAATGTTGTTATGTATTTTTCCATGCTGTAAGCTGCCTTGAGCATGGTTAGAAGGATGAAAGGCAGCATACAAACAAAATTATGTATGTACATATGTATGTATGTATGTATGTATGTATGCGTACCTTCAAGTGTGGAGGATGCCAAAGTTAGATTCTTTCCTCTTGGAAATAAGTACACAATACACATGTGTAGCATCTTGATAAGAATATACACTAGTGGCCAAAATGGTCTTTCCATTGATATATAATTTTATGGTATTACTCCAAAAAAAAAAGTGGTGTTATTAGCCATCATTGTCAAAACAAGATGACACCTGACTGGCTCTCTAAACACTCCTTTTTCTGGTTATTTTCCTATAACTTTTGATAGAATACAGATAACGGAACAATCTTTGTTGCATTATATTCTCCATTAAATTATCTTTCCAGTGATATATAATTTTAAGGTATTACAACCAACCCTCGAAAATACACTTTCTCCAAAAGGTTTCCACAATTTTGGTCACTAGTATAGGAAGCTGAATGCCCCCCCCCCAGTCAGAATCGTTGTTCATCTACCCCAGAGTTCTCTGCTTGGGCTGACAGCCCAATGGCTGGGGCTGGGACCCTCTCCATGCAAAGTGTAGGACTCTGCCACTCAGCTATGGCTCGTTCCCCCTATTTTAAATATATAGGAGCCCCAGAGGAAGAAGCCAGACAGGTTCCTGAGGAAGTATACTCAAAGCAGCCCATCCGAGACCCAGAATGGAACAGTGAGTCATTGCTGTCTGCTGGTTTACATGACCACACGACCAAACAGCCAATACCTGACACTTTGCATGTAAAATCCAATGAAGCACCATTATTATATGCTACAGCACAAAAGCAATTTGTGTTTTATCACTTTCACACACATGGATGGGGCTGGAAGTAATTTCTGTAAAAGGATGACCAGGAGGATAGGAACTGCTCTTTGCTGTATCTGTTAGACAGCCCAGTTCATACATTGTATTTATCCCCTGAAGTTTAGTGGGAAAACACCAGTGAACAAAACAGCAAACCAAGTACAAATTGTGCAAACTAGCAGTGGCCCTAGAAAGGAACTATTAGAATTAACAAGCAGTGGAAAAACAAAAAGGAGTCAAGTTAAGTTTTGCCTTTTCTGGCTTCAACTTACAACATACCATACTACTGTAATTTATTTGACTTCTTCACTGTAAGGTTCCAAGGCAGGCTGCAGGAATTTACTATTCAACAGTTTAAAACAATTTATGCTCACAGCAGTAGAGTGGGTCCTGAAAATATACACCTCGGGTGTCAAAGGCCAGGGCAAAGTTGCAAAGCAGAATACAGATATTTTATTTTGGAGGTTAGAAACACAGGAAGCTATTCACTGTTAGTGGAAACTGTAGCTGTCAGAAGCAGGGCTCTAGTCTAGTCTTCTCTTCAACATTTTGCTTTTATCATTAAAAAAAATTATATCCCACTCTTTGTCTGTAGACTTTAGGATAGGGTATGGCAATCAAAAACAAAACTATTAATCACAATTTAAAAAAAGTTATGTACATTATGTCTTCTCCGTATCTCATGAATTAAAAGGCCTGTAAAAGATAGGCATTTTCAGTTATCTCTGTGCATGGATTTTTGTTATTTTTGCTGCCGTTGTTTTGGAGAAGTATTCAAGCATGCAAGTCCCGATCTGCAGTCTGAAATAGTACATTCCATACAGAGGTTTAACCACCTCTGTGAAACTGGGCCTAAGGATTGTATCAGAACTTAGGACTCAGGACATTCCAGAAGTCAAACTAGATTTAAAACGCACAGAAAATTCTGTTTCCCTGTCCACCTGCTTTGTCTGCAGCTAAAGTTACTGCCCTTCTAATATCACCAGGAGAATATAATTAAATCTAGACAGAGAGACTCCGGAGTGGAATGATTTTAAATAACTATGAGGGAGAACTTGGGAGGGGGAGAGTCCTTGCCACTGGCAAAAGGAAGAGGACAAAGCCTAAGGAGACTGCATTCTTAAAATAAAAAAAGATTTTAGTAACAGAGTGAAGAATTTACCCATTCGCCTGGTTCCAACTGCAGATAGCAACTGCTTCTAGCTAATCAGGGCAACGTGAATCATTTCAGAGAATTTGCCTCTCTACCTCCTTCACCTGGCATTCAAGAGACCTCGGACTATTTCATGCATACAAGTCAACTACTTATGACAAACACCCCTGTTCCTGTGTAGGGAAGGGGGCATGGAAAAACAGCAGTGTGAACTAAGCTATATATGGATACAGCCAGCAGTGCCAATCTGATCATTACAGTTGGAAAGCAGAACAGTCACAGCATGCTATTTGATAGATAACTTGTAAATAAGTCAATATATTTCAACTGATGCATAAGGGACACACTTACTTATTTTCCCAATGGAGTATTAAAAGAGAGAAATGGCAAGGAATCTTTCCTTGCAAATCTGCCTGTTTCTTTCCTGCTGGTCATGGGTGAGGTGGAATCCCTTCCCTGCAAACTGAATTTGTGGACAAAGCACCTCAAATTGCACCAGGGTCTTTTTATCCTGCCGTGTGAAACAAACAGATCCATTCCATCTCCAAATCCTCTGGCACATGCAGAGGAGTTGGGAAATAAGGCAAAGGTGTTTCACCCAGATACAAACAGGGAAACTCAAATGCACTAAGAGAAGGTCTTGCTCTTGCTATTTCCTATTGTGTATTCCAGCTGAGGTTAACAGATGATTCTTTCAAGCAGGGGAAACACAGGGTCATTTGTTGACCTACTGGTGGGCTGGAGCAAAGATAAATTTTGAGCACCTCCCAGCCCAGCACAGGTGAGTAAATGGCCCTCCCTGCCACTCTTCTAGAGAAAGCAGTCTTTCACCTTGCACCTTACAGGAACTTCAAAGCAGCACAGGTGTCCTGCTACCCATTTAATCATCACAACAACCCTGAGAGGTAATTAGGCTGAGAGTGTGTAACATAACCAAGGTCGCCCACAGAGCTTTATGGTCTGAGTAGAGATTAGAACCAGAGTCTCTGCATTCTTATAATCAGCACTAACTATTAGACCATACTGGCTCTCCAAAACCTCTCCATGTGCACAAAAGCATCTTCCAAAGGCACCAGGGGCTCATTAAAACAAGGAAGGTTATTTCTGACAAAAAATCTTTGCTGGTCTTGATGCTGCTGCCAGCACTGTTTCCTACCAGTTCCAGAATAACAGTGAAAACAACAACAATAAAAACTTAACCCCCAAGCTAGTGAAGCCTTAATTACTTGGGATCCATTTGCCTGCTTACCCAGGACGTAGAGGTGACAAAGAAGCACCAGGGATTCAGTTCCTTCGGAGAAAAAAGTTTATTGTGATCTGCGCAGAGGCAACCAGCGGAATTGCTTCCAAAGTACACTCCCTGCCTATTCTCTTCACTAGGAATTGTTATTCACAAAGCTAATCTTAAACATACATGACAGCCTCCACATCTCCACCACCAAAATTTTAACTGCAGCAGACTTATTCTTCACATCTGCTCTGCACTTTGTAGAGTCTAACACTAACCAAAGAAACCTGTAGCTTTCATTTGCAGCTTATTTATCAATGCAAAGGATTGTATCATAAAAAGTTACTGAATGTATAAGAATAGCTACAGATAAAATGAAATAGGAAACAAAATATTGCAAATGAAATATATTTTTTAGAAATACGTACTGCACTTTTGCACCATCCACAATTTGGTCCAGCTTGTATACAATCAGCACATGATTTAGCATTAGCTTTTATACAATTGCTCCCACCTATAAGAAAATGCAAAGGCTTTTTAGTAAAGAAATAATAACACATACCTAACTTAATGTACTGTATAAGTAAATTTCTTACCAGCCATAAACTGAGGTTCAAACTAATCATTATATCTATAGTTAACATATGATTGCAAGTGTTGCTTAACAATCAATTCCACAAGTGCTCAGAGTCTAGAGGGAAAGTTGAAGCACCAATGCACATTTCTTCTGTGCCAATCATAACTCATTAATTAGGACTGCTTCAAATGCCATGGAACAATCCTCCACATAAGTAAAACCATGAAAACCACAACAGTCATGCATGACAAACTGCACATGCATTCATTGCACTGCACACACATGATGAAAAGGTGACGCTAATCTAGATTTTCCAATGTATGTACAAAAAGTAAAATAGATCCAGGTGGATTCCAAACATAAAGGATGAAACGGCGGAATGTAAAGACGTTCTGCAAGAGAAATTGCACCTGCATCTATTTCACTGCATGTTCGGAAAGGCTGTTTGCTTTTTCTTACTTGGAAGAATAAGAGGTGCATAACATTTCAAATGACCTGACATGGGACAAGAGTACAATTTCAAGCTGTAGATGCAGTTCAGCATCCTTCAGATGTGGCTACACTAGAGAAACGAGAGTGTGGTTCTGAAGATACAGCTCAATCTCTTCTCCAGGGCAAACATTCCTCCTCCTACCTCCTGTTCATATGTCCTCTTTGCCAACAGTTTCAGAGACATGAGCAAAGAGGTTAAACCAATATGGATTAATGTTGTATTAAAGTGAAACCGGCAGCATTTGTCCCTGAATCAATTCAAAACAAGCATAGCAAGCTTACACTGGATAGCTCTGGAATTAATAGGTCACCTGCACTGTAGAATAGAAAAACAGTCTATGCTTTCTAAACCTGTACATATTTCCATTTACCTTGTTGGGCAGATCCGCAGACCACAAAGCAGCTTAATAATCCAATCCAGATGAGAAACTTGAAATCTGCCTGAAAAATAAAATATGGGTCAATATTGGGGGCTCTTGCATGAGAAAACGAATCTCAATTTCTCCCAGCTAGGCTTGCTTTTATTAACATCTTAATTCCATGCACTTCTGATTTCTGATCAGGGAACCACAACAAAAGATCAGGGGGATGCTGGAGAAATAGTGCATCTTGATTTCAGTAAGGCTTTTGCCATTGTCCACCACCATAGTCTTGTGGTAAAAACAGCTGGTAAAATGTGGACTGAAGAAGGTAACTGTTAGGTGGATTTGTAGCTGGTTGACTGACTGAACCCAAAGAGTTCCTCATCATCCTGGTACTAATGGTTCCTCGTCATCCTGGAGGGGAAAGGGACAAGTGGGGTTACACTTCAGACAATTTGTGACCCCCCAGTTCCCCAACTCAAAAGCAAGGATGGGGGGCCTGTGGCCCTTCAGCTGCTGTTGGACACCGACTCCCATCAGCCACAGCCAGGATGGCCAATGATCTGGGGTTATGGGCATAGCTGTCAAGTGTCCCTTAGTTGAAGGGACAGTCCCTTATTCCAGCGCCATGTCTCGCTGCTGTCCCTTATTGATGGATGTCCCTTAAATGATGTCCCTTAAATTTCAAAGGAAGCAACTCCTCTCCCTCCTTCCCTGCCGGCCAGGAAGGAGGGAGGCTCCAACTGTGTTGCTTGGCTGTGTTGCTCACCCAATAAGAAGTCTAAGAATGACTGGGGGGGTGGAGCTTGCATGCCTTGTGTGTGGCTAGTTAATGCAAGCTGAGGATTTTTTTGAATGCTGGACGCCATTTTGTTGCACGTGCTGCTGCAAACTTTGTAGTGCAAAGCCAGGCCGGGGAGCCATCTTAAGTTGAGGCTGCATAGGCCTTGTGGTGCATGTGATTCAGATTCTATTCAGTTGAACCTCTGGTTACAAAGTTGGTTGGACAGTGTTCTCAAAGCTACCAGCATGAGTTTGACCAGACTGCAGGAGGACAGGAAGACTGGAGTGCCTCGAACAGGTGAGGCTGCAGGTCCCTTATTTTGGCTGCTGGTCCCTTATTTTCAAGGCTGCTGGTCCCTTATTTTCAAATCTGTAAGTTGACAGCTATGGTTATGGGAGTTATTGTGCAACAACTCCCGGAAGGCCAGAAGGTCCCCATCTTGCTTTAATAGCTTCAAAATGTGTAAAAAAAGGAGATCTGAGATTTAGAAATGGGGAGGCTGTGTGTAAATCACAATTATCACAGTTATTCTACAGGCCTCTTTTCAGCTCTAAAAAGGGCCCTAAAGCAGCTCACATAAAAATGTAAGAATGATAATAAAATATTCTATATGATAGAATACGTAAGATTCGTAAGAATCTCTGCTTCTATTGAACAAGTCGACAGATATATATAATAGAGTTTCTAGTCCTCAAGGAATGTGTGGAGATGAAGCAGCAGGAGTCAGAGAAATTCCAGAATAGTGTTTTTGGTGCTCAGTGGGCGCTCAGTGCCCTTTATTGCTTCTCGCCCCCAATAACTGGCAGAAGCATACTCTAAAAGAAGCCATGCAAAGCCCTCCAGCAAACATGATGTATACAGCTGTGTGAGTGTTCCCCAGCCGAATTAATCTATCATTATTTCCAGTGTGCATTGTTTACTTAACTCTATGTTGTAAACTCATGAAATGAAATGAAAAACATTTCTCGTGTTACATGAGAATCCCATACAAAATAATACCATGGGAAATGGCAATTAGATTTAAAAAAGATTGGCAGTATTATCTCCATTAACACCACGCCCAAAGGAAGGGAGTATTTCCTGCTGTGTGTCTAAGTCAAGTAATGTAATAGATTAGAAACATTCCTATTCTACTGTAGCCATCAAGTGAATATCAAGGTGCTATTGTGCTATATATGCTCTCACAGACTCTCATATATATACATATACATGTGTGCCTATAAATCTCAGCAGATTATCAAATTGAGGAAGGGCCACATGCTCTGCATGCAATATCTGGCTTCTATAGGTAAGGCTGCAAATGACTCCTGTTAGGAACCCTAAAGAGTTGCTGCCAGCCAGTGTAGATAGTATTGTGCTAGGTGGACTGATGGTCTGGCTTGGCACCAGATTCTTATATTCCCAAAGTCATACCACGACATAGAACCCTAGGTGGGGATATACAGATAAGAGTTGGCTCGGTTCTCAATGGATCCCAGTGCACATGTTTTGCACAGAGAAATGTTCAGGTTCAATCAATGGCTTAATAAAAAAAGGAGAAGGTAGCAGATTTCAGACCTCTCTGCTCAAGATACTGGAAAGCTGCTACAAATCGGAGTAGGCAACACCAGTTTAACTGGATAAATAATCTGACGCAAAAAGGTAGCTTCCTAAGATATCTGCAGTATATAGCGCTCTCTCCTCACACACATAACCACCTGCCATACTTACTGGTATTTCATTAATGGGAAATTTCAGTGGATTTTTTTTACTGCCTGTGAAGAAAGAGGCAACCATGAAGGATGAGCCTTCATGTATAGCATCTCTAATAATGGTCCAATTCACATATATAAACCATGATTAACAAATGAAGAGGGAATTCACTCCTCCTCTGGTCCTGTTGTACTACCCAGGGCTAAGCCACGGTTTGGCTTTCCACTGCGTCAGAACCCTAAACCTTGGGATGTCTCCCCCAAACTACAACCAGTAAATCAAGAAACTTAAGTTTGTTTTTGCTGAGCCATTGTTTGGATTATCGTTATGTTCATAAGTAAGGTAAAGGTGTAGCAGGAAACCCCCCACCCCAATCATTCTGCTTGTACAAACTTCACACACACACACACTCACACACTACATACGCCACATTTCTGTTATAAATTCATAGAAAATCAACCATACATTGGATTTGCACTGTTCCATTTTTATTTTACTCCATATGACAAGAACTAACAAAAGGGGAGGGGGGTTTGACCCTGGTCAGCCAGAATCCCTTCACTGTCTCAGCACATCTGCAGGAGCCCTGCCCAGATGATCCCAGACAGAAGACAATCAAAATCACAAAGAACAGTGGATTCACCACAGACTGAAACAAAGGACAATGATCAGATCTTCCCTCAGGGGGCAGGAAACTGCAAACTCCCCTTTGTCTCCTGGAAGTAACTCATGGGGAGGGAGGAAAGGAGGAACCAGCCAGGTGACAAGATACTCAGGTTACCACCAACTCCTCCCTCAACCCCTCCTTTCTGTAATGTATGCATGATGTTTCTGGGGGTGGGCTTGACCTAGAGGAGGGGAATTTCAAAAGATTTTATAAGACTTGGCACACTATTTTTCTGGGTCTTTCCTCTCTCCTGCGAGTGAGGGGAACACCCTGTTGCAACAGTTCAATAAAGGCCAAGCCTACAGGCTGCTGTTTTGCTCCAAGTTATCCTGGTTGGTGTCTTTGTTTTTGTCCAAGAGAGCCCTCGGATTTTTCCGGTAACAGATGGCGACCACGAAGGGACACTTGGTTCTCCTGCAGAGGTGAGGGGGGAGATAGAGGGGATCGGGCGCCACTGGGCAACCTTAGCCCAGGGATCCTTCTTCCTCTCCCTGCCTCCTCTTTGCGGGCGGTAATCAATCGTCACCAAAAGCTCAACCAGGGGAGCAAAGGCGAGGTCAAGCCGGCTAAAAGAAAAGGATCCGCGGGGGACATCTTCGAACGTGAGTATGGTTTGAAGTAAAACACATTGGGAGGGGGGTTGGAGAAGCAGTGTCCCCACGACAGCCAGACTTTCCTTCTTTCATTTCTGGCGTAGCCCCTCGGAGTCGGCCGGGTACGTTTAAATTCTATTCTTTTCTCCCCCGACGCTCCCCTTTCGGAAAGTGGCCAGGGAGGTCGGGAACTCTACTGTCTGACGTTATCTCTCGGAGTCGTCTAGGTACGTCAAAACCTTTCTCTGTCTCTCCCCTCAATTTCTTACGAGGAACGTGTCCGGGGAAATTGTGGTACTTTTACTGTTTTCCGGCATTACCTCTCGGAGTCGTCCGGGTATGTCTTAATCTCTCTATCCCTTTTCTCCCCCGTTTTCCGTCTTGGAATTGAGTCCGGGAAAGCGTGGCTCTTTTACTGTTTCTCTGATGTCTTCCCTCGGAGTCGTCCGGTGGCATCTTTTCAAAAGTATTTCAACGCAAGGTCATTTGCTTCCTTTCAAACCTTGGTTGTTTTCTGGGACCCCGATCTGGCACTGCTTTGCGCAGGCGTTCAGTAGGGGACTCCAAACTTAGTCTCAAAGGCTAGGCAGGAGGCTGTCGTGGGTGGGAGAGGGGAAAATAGGTTTAGTCTTGTAAACAGCGCTGAGGTAAAGGAATTCCGGGCAGAGGGACCCGTGGTTTTGAGTTTGCGGGCAGAGGGACCCGTGGTTTGTTTCAGGTTCAGGTTTGAGATTTCCAGAAATTAATTTGTGGTTTATAGATAAGTAGGAATTGTGTTAGTCAAGGGTACTTTGAGTACTGAAAGGATCTTTTATCTGTCCCCCCTTTCTTTCCCATTGTCCCTCCTCCCTTGTGTGTGTGTTTCCACTCTTTCTGTCTTTAGTGTACTTCGTTAATGGAAGAAAAGAAAAAAGCCCAATAATAACATATGAGAGAATGGGAGCTCACTAAAACACCCTAGCTGGACTCCTCCTGGCAACAAAGCTTCCATGAAGCCTTTTTGCCCCAGAGAGGATTCTAATATGCCCCTCCAGCTTGTCATCTCCAATTGGGAAAAAATAAAATAAAGGGGCAAAATGGTCTTTCAAGTACAAAGTATGAGACCGTTGTAACTTTTAGTGGGTGGCTTAGGCTCACCACCTGGAACCCAGGGCACAGCAGCCACCTCAGGGATCCTTCAACAAAATCAGGGTGTGAACCCATAGGGAGAGCTGAAAACATCAAATTTGTGTTGTTAAACTATGACCTAAAGCTAGAACATAAAACCGAAAACTTGATGGTGCTCAGAAGGCAGTAGATATAATAACAGCCCAGCCTGAGAGCCCACGCATTAGAGATCTTAG